CACATCAACAGAGAACTGCCAAATGTGCAGGCTGGTTTTAGAAGAGGTTTTGGTACTAGGGATATTATAGCTAATGTTAGATGGATCTTGGCTGAAAACAGGGAGTACCAGAAGAATGTCTTATCTGTGTTTCATTAACTATGCAAAGGGTTTTGACTGTGTGGACCATAACAAACTGTGGCCAATTTTGAGATGATTGGGAATTCCAGAGCACTTGTTTGTGCTTATGTGATACCTATACTTGGTTCAGGAGGGCAGTCATCAAAATAGAGGAAGGAAACACTGCATTGTTCAAAATTGGGAAGGGTGTATGCCAGGGATGTGTCCTATCTCCATACCATTTCAACCTATATGCAGAACAGATTATCTGAGACGCTGGGCTGTATGAGGAGAAATGTGGCATCAGGATTGGAGGAGTACACTCATCAATAATCTGTGTTATATAAATGATAAAACCCTGCTTGCTGAAACAGAGGAGGACCTGAAACACTTGCTGCAGAAGATCAAGGACTGCAGCCTTTCAATATGGATTGAAGCTCAACATCAAGAAAACAAAGATTCTCACCACTGGGCTGATTGGCAGCATCATGATAGATTGGGGAGGGATTGAGATTGTTAACAGCTTCAGTTTGCTTGGCTCCACAGTCAGCACTCTTGGTACTAGCAGCCAAGAAATTAAAAGGTGAATTGCATTGGGAAAATCTGCTGTCAGAGATCTCTCCAAAGTACTGGAGAGAAATGATGTCAGGAGGTTAAGGTGCACCTGATCCAGGCGATAGTCTTTGCAGTTATTTGCTGTGCGTCAGAGAGCTGGACAATCACTAGGGATGATAGAAGAGAATTGATTCCTTTGAGCTGTGAACTTCTACTGGGAGAACAAACAGATTCGTCCCAGAGAGGGTGAGACCAGGTTACTCCTTTGGAGACAAGGATTTGAAGCTTCATCTGACATACTTTGGACATGTTGCAAGGAGGGACCAGACCTTGGAGAGAAACGTGATACTTGAGAGGGTAGAGGTACAGCACAAGAGAGGAAGACCCTCAATGAGATGGATTGATTCAGTGACTGGGGTAAATGGGGTAGGTGTGTCAGAGGCAATGAGATTGGCAAAGGATAGAGCAGGGTTTAGGGCTTTTATACATAGGATCGCTATGAGTCACAAGCAACTTGACAGCACAAAACAGCAACAATTTTTATTTTAAAAATAGGTCTTAATTTCTAGAGGATTTAGAATCCTCTGGATATTTTTAGAAGTATAAAGTTGTTTGGAGTGTCGTGGGAGTTTTTTGCATTTTTTCTATCTTTTATTTTTTTATTTCTTGTTGCCTATTTTATCCCCCCCTTACCACTCTCCCAGCCAACCCCATAATGTACCCCTTGTTCCATATTGTTGTCATACATAAAATCCCTAATCATGTATTCCTTTGGGACAGTTCTTCCCTCATCTCTTCTTTTCCCCCCCCTTTAAAAAAAATTTTTTTATGTGTGTGTACCATTAATAGGATCTGACGGGTACTTCTCCAGCAGTGCATCTGATTTCAAACCTCACGCCTTCAGGATTGCAGCTCAGCTTCCTGCCGCTAGGCCATCAGATTTCCCTCACCATCACTTTTGTTTTAATTGAGATTTTAGTGGAAGTCCATAGAGAACTTGGATTTCCATTCATTCATTGTTGCACATTTTCCTCCGTGCCCACTCACCCACCCCCAGTTTGCTTTTCTCTTTGAAAAAGAAAAAATTCCTTCATTGTTATATAATCTCCCCTCCTCTAGTCCACTTTACTATGTTATGCTGCTCTTTTGTCATGCAAATAATACCTAATCATATATTCTATTTAAACAGTTCTCTCCCTCATCTGAGTACATTATTTATCCCCTCTTTTCTTAGTTTCACCCCAACCCCAATGTCAGTTCTATTTTGTAACAGTGGTACTATGCAGTATTTGTCCTTTTGTGACTGAAATATCTCACTCAGCATGATGTCCTCCAGGGTCATCCATTTTGTATAATATTTCATGAGTTCCTTGTTTGTCAGTGCTGCATAGTATTCTGTTGTGTGAATATACCACAGCTTCTCTAGCCATTCGTTTGTTGATGTGTCCTCCTCTCTTTTATTGCAGTATTCACTATCCACTCTTTTCCCATTCTCTCCCCAACCCCTTTATGTCTTATTTTATAACAGTGTTGTGCCATAATTTTTCTTTTGTGACTGAAATATTTCATTCAGCATAATGTTTTCCAGGTTCCCCCATGTTGTATAATGTGTTATGAATTCATTGTTTTTCATGGTGCATAATATTCCACTGTGTGAATATAGTTTTTGTCCATTCGTTTATTGATGGGCACTTGGGTTGCTTCCACCTCTTCACTATTGTGAATAACAGAGCTGTAATAATCTTCTGTATGCAAACAAATGTTTGAGTTATGGCTCTGGTTTCTTGAGGGTATATTCCTAGTAATGGAATTTTTTGGTCAAATGGTATTTCTATTTCTAACTTTTTGAGAAAGCCCTAGACTGCCTTCAAAGTGGCTTGCCATTTTACATTCCCACCACCAGTGAATAAGAGTTCCAGTCTCTCCACAGCCTCGCCAGCATTTGTTGTTTGCTGCCCAGTTGAACTTTGCTATTGTTGCTGGGGTGAAAAGATATCTCATAGTTGTTTTGATTATAATAGGCGTTTTTGAGGTTTTGGGTAAGTAAATGATAATATTTGACAAGAATTATTTAAAAAACCATTTTACAGTGGAGAGAAATTGAAGGCTTGTTGAGTATAAGTGATATAAAAAAATTCTCAAAGGACAAGGCAGTCATTGTCTTTGTATTTGTCCAGCCTTTCTATAGTTTGTGATACACAGCATAAATTCATGTAGATCTTTAATTATTTGTTGAACCTGGCAGGAAGTGAATGAATTCGTAAATTAATTCTCTTTCATTGTTGGAGGTCCAAGAAGAACCTAGCCAAATATAACAGTTCTAGAGAAGGGAGTTCTGTTAGTGTAGTAAGGAATTGTGCAAAGTGCCTGCAACCAGCAGCTCTGTGGTAGAAAGATGAACAGGCTTCTCCTGTGTAATGTGCAGTGTTGGAAACCCACTTGGCAGGTCAGCTGTAAGTACCAACTTGACAGCATTGGGAGTTTTTTTTATTTAATAGCAGTGAAAATTTAAAAGACTGGAAGAATATGGGAGAGTTTGGAACTCTGGTGGCATAGTCCACAGCAAGTTGTGCTGCTAACACAAAGGCTAAATGTCTCAATTGGTTTGGATGTCTCCATTGGTGATGGCTCACTCTCCTTGTGTGTAATATACAGGCTTAGCTATGGACCAACTTGGTGACAGTGAGTTTTGAGGTCTAAATAAAGGATTTGTATTGAACTGTTGAATACTCTAAAGGTATGCCTAGGAACTGGAGAAAAAGGATATTACCAACTGAAAAAGATATGCCTGTTTTCAGGAGTGTTATTGGTGTAGTCCTTAGGGAGTTTGCACTACATTTCTGTGGCCAAAAGGAGAGTGATAATCAGTCTCCTCCTATGGAATATAAAGCCTTGGAAACTCAGTGGCTGGTCAGCTATGGGTTGATTTTGATTCTATGACGAGTATGTCTGTTTTGTTCTCTTTTTTACTTTAAGTTCTACAGGATATGTAGCTGTCAAATCTACTAGGCAGTGTTGGAGAGAAAGGCAATTGAAAAATATCCTATAAGTGATGGAATTAAAAAAGTGTCATTGAGAGATATAATAGATTAACTGCTCAGTAGTTGAATTCTAGTGAAAATAAGAGTACTCAGAGTCCTGTAATTTTAAGTTTTGTTTTATTAGATTTGCTTATTTTCATTATGTAAGAGTAGTTCTGTCCCCAAGATACACAGATTCCACAATCATTATCCGCAGATTCGTTGCAATGAAGTTTTGCTTGGCTTTTCTGTATTTGTATTGTAATGGAATTTGTGGCACATTCAAAGCTGTTGTGATAAGCTCAGCTGGGAAAGAAAACTACAAAGAGAAACAAATTATTTTAAAGAGTGCATTTAATTACAAAATGACACTGTTGCATAAAACAGTAGTAGAGAATTTTAAAATATTCTAGTAGCCATTGCTTTAAGTGAAAGAATAATTGTAACAGAAAGGTTGTTGATTGTGTGTCAGTATTCTTGTCCACCCGTAGGTGACAGTTATTGTTAGGTGACCTTGGATCAGCTCCTACACATAGATAACAGAAGAAAACTTTGCCTCTTTCTGTGCCACCTTGTGCCACAGTCTCTGCTGTGCTTATTGTTAGTCACTTGTCAGTCTGTCTCATTGGATGACAATAGCATCTAGTCTTTGAGAACTAGAAAAAGATCCTAGATTTCATCTACTCTATTTTACAATTTAAAAGAACATTTACCAGAACACCAAAACCCCATAGCCAACCAGTGGTTAAGTCAGGACTAATGTATAAATATTTCTTTTGACTCTTAATCCAGTATTCTTCTGAAATGCTGTTTAGCCTTCCTTCATTACATGATAAATTAGAAGCTTTCATCTGTTCTAGTCTGTGATTTTATTTATACTGAAATTATAAGAACTAATGTTAGAGTACTATTTAATTGCTATTGTCTTATATGCAGTTATTTTATCCAGTAATTTAATCATATTATTGATAAGAAAAAGCAGGGTGGGGTGTTTTTTTCCCATTTGGCAGCATGCATTATGTGATCTAGTTTAAATTTGTTTTGTTGTTGAGTACCATCAAGTGGGAACTAGACTATAGCTGACCCTCCAGTGGGTTTTCCGAGGCAGTTAACCATACAGAAGAAGATTGCCCTTCCTTCTCCTGCAAAGCAACTGGTGGATTCAAACCCTGTGCCTTCAGAAATGCAGTAGTTTCTTAAAACTAGGCCACCAGAGCTCCCTGGTTTAAATTTAGACGACCAACATTTTAAAAGATGTTAGTTTTGTTGGAGGAAGAGTAAATATTTTGTTTTTAATAATCTTTCATTTTAATCCTTTGTAACCAGCAAGAAGTTGAGAAGTTTACAGATCTAGAGAAACTCTACCTCTACCTTCAGCTGCCTTCTGGTCTCAGCAATGGAGAGAAAAGGTATATTTGGTTTTGTCTTTAACATAATTAGTGTTTACAGGACACCTGTTAGGAAAACATATTTGTTTATGTGTGTTGTGATTGCTTTTGATTTTGTACTATTCTTGGAACCACCAGAAAACAGAATGGCAAAACAGTCAATGTTTTAGTTTTAGTTTTAGTCCTCTCCGGCTAAATGTTTACCTATAGTTTGCCAATTCATTTATGTACTTGGGTAATTGCTGTTAAATGCATTTTGAGTTACATTTTATAGAAAGATGAATTTATTTACACAATTTGTAGAATTTTGAAAGTTATTCTCACATTTAGCTAATATGATTATCAGAATCAATTGTTTCCAACTTATTGTCTCAGATCTCTTTTTCATAGGATTAGTTTATAAATGATCTTATGTTATATGTAAATTTTATATTCTTAATGACTGTTAATTTGTCAGTGGTAGACTACCAACTGATTCACAAGAAGGACTTTAAGGGGAGATTTAGTATCTGCCTTATATCAATTCTATTCTGAAGCATCAAATGCTTTAGTTAAGATTTCAGAATAGTTACTTTCTGTAGATAAACATTGGCTTTGGTAGTTCAAGCAAATGAACAAGCACATAGTGAAAAACTTACCAGCTTGAAGGTCATTTAGGCTAAAACATGTGCCTTTAATATCATCAATTATTCATTACATGTGCCATTTTAGAGGCCTTAGTGAAAGATGGAACAGGACAGTCACTTCATTTGGAAAAACAGATTTAGAATATATTTTATAATAAACAATTTGTATGAAATGTCCTAAGTTTTGTTTGATTCTTTATAGCACACTGTTCTTCAGTGGGTCATTTAGGCTTGATTCAAAAAATGTTTAGTTACCTGTCATCTAGTTCAGCTAACACATGTTTTTGTTTTCTGGCTAGTGATCAGAATGCCATGTCATCTAGTCGAGCACAGCAAATGCATGCTTTTTCCTGGATTCGAAATACCTTAGAGGAACATCCTGAGACTTCACTACCCAAACAGGAAGTCTATGATGAGTACAAGTAAGTATTATGTGCATACACAAGACATACTGATATTTAAGCACATATTCTTTAGTGTCTTCAGTGATTTGTGTCATCATACATGGGAGTTCCAAAGATTTCTTCTATTCTGAGCTTTATTATAATGTCTGTAATTGATGTTTTTGCTCGTTGCCATCAGGTCAGTTTGACTCATGATGACCCATGTATACGGCAAACAACTGTTCAACAGGGTTTTCAAGGTTGTGACCTTTTAGAAGCAGATTACTGTAATGCCTTCAAGGCACCTTTTAGTGGATTTGAACAACGAATCTTTTAGCCATTAAATCAAGTGTTTAATATTCTTTTATAACTAAAAATTATTTCTTTTTAACTAAGATTTATTTTGAGGACATAACTAAGCTTTGTTACCCACCCACCCCATCTACTTAGGACAAGGGTTAATACAGTAAATGTTGTAAAATAGGTATGAACATCTTGAAGGATTGGAATCAATGTTAACTGACAGAACAGCTTCCTTTTAAGTCATCTTAAAAATATTTAAGAAAGAAGAGGAGGAGGGAAGAGGGCAACAGGGGTTTCAGACTGAACAAATCTCACATTTTATCTAATACATTTAATCCTGGCTAGAGTGTAACAAAATGGAAACAGGACTATAAAAGAAAACTTCCACTACAGCACACTGTACACAACCTGTGTTCCAAGTCCACCCCCATTTTCTAATGCTTGCAAGTCAACTATTTCCCAGCCTGTTGGGCCTGCTGCTGAAGGAGGATGTAGATCTTCTCCTCGATCTAGTCTTTGTTGTAAGGATGATATGTCTGGGTATCAGCTCAGTAAACATGACAGCTGAGGTCTGCTAGATCATCAATAAAATCAAACAATTGACTGACATTGTATGTGATTGAAGGACTGTTGGTATTTATTCTCTTTAGATGTTCTTCATACAATTTACAAATGCCTTCCATGCATTCATTCATGGATTCATAGTCTGTGTAAGTAAGTTCTGCCTTCTGGCGTCTTGGTAGGCTGTACCAACAAAGTGGTGTGAGACATTGTGCCAACTCTCTCTCCGCAGCCACTGCCAGTCCCACTGCCACACACAAGCTGTGCTACAACCGTGTTTATAAAGTGTTTAGTTATCACATCAACCATTTGCATAACCTGTAGGGAAGAGTTCTGCTATCTTGTTAAGGGTTTTTACTCCCCCTTCTACTTCTTCTACTATTGTTATTGGTTTGCCTACATTCATATACATTGTATATTATACAGTCATTCATATATATTGTCTTTTATATAATTGATCTATGCTGGTTATTAGCCCATCTTTTCAAGTCCCCATTGAATGAATCTTACATAGTCCTTCATCCTCCCCATCTGCCTACTAACCCCTGCTATCCCAATGATTTCCACCCTTCCCCTTTTTTGCTTTCTCCCCCTTTTTACCCTTCCCTGTTTGAATATTTATTCACATCTTACTCAGTTACCCTTCTATTTTTACTATAATAGTCTTCTGCAGTATTTGTCCCTACAAGACTGAGTTATTTCACTTAGCATAATACTGTCTGGATTCTGCCATATTATATAGTGTTTCATAAAATCATTTTTCTGCATCCCCACATAGTACTTCGTTGAGTGAATGTACCACAATTTCCCGATTCATTTGTTTGCTGATGGACATTTGGGCTGTTTCCATTTACTTTGTATTTTGAATAACGCTGCTATGAACATAGGTGCATGTATCTCTGTTCGTGTCTCAATTCTAATTTTCTTGGACTCTATGTGGCGTCCACTTCCATAATAGCTTGCCTCTGGAAACCCTATGAACCTGGAGAGAGGATGAAAGGCACCCAAGCCTTGAGGACTCTCCTCCATAGGGTCGCTATGAGTCACCTGCGACTCGACGGCACTTAACAACAATAACTATTCCTAGCAGAGGTATAGCTGGTTTATATGACATTTCTATATCCAGCTTTTTGAGGAAACACCAAACTGACTTCCAGAGTGGTTCTACCATTTTACAACTCCAGCAACATTGGATCCTCTCAAACATTTATTGCTTGCTGTTTTATTAAAACTTTGCTACTGCAACTGGAGTGAGACAGTATCTTATTGTTTTGATTTGGATATTTCTGTTTTCCAGTGATTTTGAACATATTTTTATATTTCTACTGGTCATCCAGATGTCTTCCTTAGTGAAGAGTCTTTTCATGGCATTTGCCCATTTTGTTACTGGGTGATCAGTCTGTCTTGTGGAGACTGTAGTATTCTACAAAAACTTGTTATGAGTCCCTTGTCTGAGATGTTATTGCCAAATTTTTTCCCGTCTGTAGGCTTTCTTTTCACTGTTTAGACAAAGTTTTTAGAAGTTCTCATTTGTCAATTATATCTTCTCCTGGTTGTGCATTTTATCTTCTCTTGGTTGTGGAAGTATTTGCAAACTTCTTTAATGTGATAGACTAGGGCTTCTACATTTGGTCTATTTTGTCTCTTACGATTTTTATGATTTTGCATTTAACACCTTGGTCTGTGATCCACCTTGAGTTGATGTTTTGTGAGGTGTGACATGTAGATCCTATTTCAGTTTTCTGCAGGTGGAGGTCCAGTTTTGCCAGTACTGTTTGTTGAACAGGTTATCATTACCCTACTTTATAGGTTTTGATTCCTTGTCAAATCCTCATTGACTCTGGATCAGTAGATTAATTTCTGGATTCTCAATTCTATTTCATTGATTTCTATGTCTGTCACTGTACCAACACCATGCTCTTTGGTTACTGCAGCTTTGTAGAAGGTTTTGAAATCAGAGAGTTCTGTGAATTCCACTTCACTTTTATTTTTTAGAGAAACTTTGCTTATACGAGGTCTCTTTTGCAGTAAAACTGAAAATTGCCTTTTCTATCTCTTTGAAGAATGAGTTTGGTATCTGTATTGGAAATATGTTGAACAGGTAGATTGCTTTCCATAGGATTGTCCTTTTCACAATGTTGAGTGGCCAGGCAATATTTTTCCATTTAGTTAGGTCTCTTATTGTTTCTTGTAGTAGTATAGTGTTTTGTAGATTTACTTTTAAAGGTCTTTTATGTCTCTAGTTAGGTTTATTCCCTATTATTTCATCTTGTAGTTGACTATTGTAAATGCTATTGCTTTCTTAGTTTCCTTTGTTGTAGAGAAATCCAATTGATCTTTGTGTATTGATCTTGTATCCTGTCACTGTATTAAATTGATCTATTAGGTCTAACAGGTTTTTCTTTTAATTAAGTCTCTGGTTTTCTGTGTACACTACCATATCATCTGCATTCTGCAGCAGTTTTACCACATCTTTGCCAGTTTGGATGCCTCTTATATCTTTCTCTTATTGCCTTAGCAAGTACTTCCTATACAATAATGTATAGTAGTATTAGTGGGCTTCTTTGTCTTGTCCCTGTGTGCAAGAAGGCCTTTAGTCTTTCTCTACTGAGAATGCTATTAGCTCTTGGTTTTGCATATATACGTTTCACTATGTATGTTAAGGAATTCCTTTCTATTCCTATTTTGTTGAGTGTTTTAATCAGCAAGGGGTGTTGAATTTTGTGAGATTTTCTGCATCAATAGAGGGGATAATGTGGTTCTTGTTCTTTACTTCGTTAATGTAGTGAATTGTCTAGATTGTTTCTCTTTGTATACCTGTTATGAATCCCACGTGGTCATGATGAATTATTGTTTTGGTATGCGGTTGGATGCTATTGGCTAGAATTTTGTTAAGGATTTTTG